ATGTTAGGGTGTAAAGTGTTAAGAACAGCATTACTCAGTTATTTAAACTCACCTGTGACCCCGAATAATCAAACTCTCCAGCTTGTCCAATGGACAAACCTCCTGAACCTAAAATCAAAATTTTCTTGGGTGTGTGTTCACTGGGTGATACTAGGGGATCAAACTTCAGTGACTGCTGAATCCTTTCCTTAACTGATACTGATTGTTCTCCAGTTTGTTTGTACTGCTTGACTGTGGACAAAAAGATGTCAAACAACAACTCTAAGTCTTGTGGTCCAGCCATATGTTCTGGGTGAAACTGCACACTGTAAAATGGCTTGCTGTTATGAATTATCCCTTCATTTGTTTGGTCATTAGCATTTGTAAACAACACTGACCAATCAGGTGGCAGAGAGTTGGTATCAATAGCAAAGCCATGATTCTGTGTGGTGATAAAACAGCGATCTGTGCCATGATGTATGCAAGGAATATTGTGACCTCTATTTCCATACCTACAAATGAACACAATTGTAACAAAATGTTTTCATGTGTGCCTGCTGAAACATTTACATTTTTCTATTTAGTTTTAAAGGAGATGATGCATTCTCTCCCTTTATACACACTAAAAATAAAGTTTTCATCAAGACAGTTTTAACATAAGTTTTAACAGCAACAAAACAGCAAGAACAAGATTATCTTCAACTACTTACTTCATTTTGAAGCTTTTACATCCAACAGCCAAGCCCAGGAGCTGGTGTCCAAAGCAAATTCCAAATAGAGGTTTAAGACTGGTGCGTTCTGTAAACTTTTTAATATTGTTTATAGTCTCAGTAGTGAAAGTGGGATCTCCAGGACCATTGCTTAAGAACACACCATCACAGTCTGAAGAAATAGCAAAAAATAATAACATTGACATAGATTGAGAAATATCTCGCACTATAAATGAGAAATAGAGATTTTATGAAGTTACAACAGACACAACAGAAAAAACATATCTGTTAGGATTCTAAACAGCTTGATGTGGTAACCATCTCTTACTGTGCTGACTCCCCTTTGGCAGAACACATGCAGACACCACTGAGTGCAGAAGAGAACCCTGCAAAATTTGCTTCCATTCTTGGACTATACAAAGGTTGCAGATGTTGTTTAGTTATTTGCAGGGGAAGGTTGGGAGATGTTCAAAATTTAGAAAGCAAGCGAAGAATTATATTTCTGCTCATCCTTCCTCTGTGTCACCACATTCTCATTGCTGCTTCCGTAATACTTTTCTTAAGTCCTTATTGTGTTCACAGATTTAGAGTTTGTTTAATAGCTTTTTTCATGAATATAATAACTAAGAGCTTTACATGAAGTACAGTTCAATGAGATAGTACAGAAAGTTACCTCCTTTTTCCACATCATCGTTGAAATTGTAATTCCAAGGAACAACTTTAACAGCAGCTCCTCTGGCAATAAGACACCTTATCTGGTTGTATTTTATTCCACAATCCACAGCGATGATCTTGAACTCACCATCTGGGTTATAAACAACTGGTGCCTGTCAAAACAATTATAGTTATTAAAATGTTATAGTTATAATGATGTAATATTTATTACTGTGTAGATTCTGTCACTCTGGTCACCTCTGAATTCCATTCCTTTATCATCTATGCTTTTGGTCTTGAGCAGTTATTGGCATTTGAGAATCTACAGATATTTGTACAAATCACCTAATATCTCCATTCTGAAAACCAAGAAAACCTAAAGATAAAGTATTGTGAGTGTAAAAGCAAACTAAGATGTGCTGCCTCATGTATATTCTTTCACAGTGAACAAGAGTTAGACTAGTTTAACAATAAAGGAATACTTCACCACAGAATAACCACCACAACTTAGAGGATGCTTGGTCTTTTAGAAAGCCTTCCAATCTGATTTGACCTGTTTGAAATTTTAGACTCACAAAGCTAACCTTTGATGAAACCTCTGCAACTAGGTTTCTCTGATTTGGATCATCAAATGGAATGGACTCTGGTTCCACATCTTCAATCACTACTTTTCCTAACATGCATCCTGTTTCTCTGATCTTCTTTGTCAATGCTCTTGTGTCAATACCTGAAATATGTATTATTATGTAAGAAATCAAACAATCTTTAAAAAACTCCAGGTCTAAATGTTGATTAGGAATTCAAAAATATAAAACTTTCATTTAGTTTTTGAATTGACAAATATCAGATTGTCATTAAGCCAGCTGCCATTTTGGTAGAGAAATGGAACTTAAAATATGAAAAAAAGGTAGACATAAAGCTAGGGTATATGCTTTAAACCCAGTTCCATAAACATTGTTTGCAAATATTACAAATGTAAAGAATAAGAAAGATGTCAAGTTTTAAGCTTGATAAAGAAATATACTAGAAAGATGTTTTTTGTCTTATCTTGAGCGAGGGACCAAGAAAAAATTATGAGTCCCCATGAGGAATACAACCTCAGACTTTCAGATTCTGGGGACTCAGAAATTTTTTCTTTGTTCTATGCTCATGACAAGAGGAAAACCATCTTTCTATATTTCTATCAAGCTCAAAACTTACCATCTTCCTTATTCTTTACAAAACATTACACTATCGACATTACTGATCCTAGCAGCACACAGGACACGTGTCATATATGTACTATAAAAGGCCCTGCGTATCAGTCTCTGTGGCTCAGTGTTACAGTATCAAAGCATGAAATACATAAGTCTGAGGTTTGATTCCTTGAGGAAACTCAGAATTCTTTTCTTTTCCCACTGTGACTTGACCAAAAACATATTTCAATGATACCAATGTTACAGATACTGCAATTTTGCATTTATAATTTTACTGTCTTGAAACTTGAGTCATATTAATTTCTGTTTAAACATTTCTCACCAATAAAAAGGAAGGTATCTCAGAGCATCTTAAAATGTTAGGAATGATGGTATGGACCATCATCCCCTTTTCATCCCACCACACTTTCAGAGAATTCCTGAAAATATATTACATCCTTTCAAATCATAAGGATCTAAAACAGAGGTTACCATTTCCCCTAAAAATATCCAATCAACAAAAAACAACTCACCACTAATGCCTGGTACCCCCTCTTCCTCTAACCACTGGGAAAGAGATTTCTTTGCATTCCAGTGACTGTACTCTTCAACATAATCACCAACAACCAGAGCTGCTGCCCAGATTTTATCTGACTCCAGCTCAACTGCCAACCCATATGAATCCTTTTCTCCATCTGGGACTCCATAGTTTCCAATCAGTGGATAGGTAAGAGTAAGAATTTGACATCTGTATGATGGATCTGTGAGGGATTCTGGATATCCAACCATGCCAGTCTGAAACACTAAAATTATATGAATTTGTTATTCATTTATCCATAACTCAATCATTAAGAAACAATTTTGTTTGGTAGACCTGTTAGCTTGAGATTATTCGGTTGAGTTTTCAATCAAACGGTCTTGGTTTAACCCTTTTCACCCCAATATCGAAATACACATTCTCCATACACTTCTCTTTACATTTCCCAGTGTTGAAAGGGAGAATTTGTTTAACAATCAAGAGCTTTTTTAATGGGTGGCCATTACTTATTTCTTGTAACCTTAAAGTTTGATTTGGCAACGTTCATGGATAGATAAGTTAAATGCTACCCACTCCAAGGGGTCACAAGGTTAAGCACAGGTCATCTCACTTTCCTTGGGTAGCTCTCATTTTACTGTAAACAGTTTTTATGTCTTGATCCTGAATATCCAAACTTTTTAACATACAAATTGAGGAGAAATGCTCTTGCTAAAATATAACAAAAACTTAGCGTGTCCATGTATCTGTTATCTTCCAAATATTCTTCTATCAATTAGTTTTACAAGCTTCGATGGAACGTGACTTCCCATGAAGAATGTAGCCGCGTGATATCCGGGACCTCCTCAAAATAATCATGCATCTATTCCACGTGCAAAGGGTCACGAGAAAGCAGGGCAATCTAAATCCATCGCATCTGTATCTCAACGCTTTCCTTTGTGTCATTTTACTTTGCTTAGTGTCATATGATAAGTTTTTGGTCGAATTTCTTCACCAGTAAATAAAAGAAATGTCTTATTCGTTAAAATATATGACATTATATAACAGAAACGAGCCGTTCCCGACGAAAGTAAGATCTAATTTTGTAATTAAACACTTACATTTCTATTCTCTTCGCAGATAAGAGTTTACGGCCAATAAAATTTCAAAAATATTACAGGTTGTCACTTTTGAATAACGTTTTCATGTAGTTATTACAATCGCTTCGGTGTTACGGAAGAAAAGGAATCGAACACGTGTGTTCGATGCTTGACTTGTCGAACTTTGAAAGCAAACAACACCAAATTATGCCTTACCAACTTCACCAGCAACGCACTTAGCTGCTCCAAACAGCTTCCCTTTGTATACAGAACCATCTTCTAAGATTAAACTGGCTTGCTTTGAACGGTTCGACGCCATCTCTTCTCCGTGTGAAAATTGTTACCGTGGCCAAGTCTCCATTAGCCACTTTGACGAATAAAAATTTGGCGCGGTATTTGATAACTCGGAACCAGCTTCCCGCTGCCTCAAAGTAAGACGGAACTGCATTAGCAATCCACGTTTAATCCATTGAACAAACTTCAATAATCATTTTCAATGACAAAACACAAAAACAACTTCAAAAATAAAATGGTGCGCACATGGAAAAAACGATTACGTCTCTCGAAACAGCAGAGCACAAGGAAATATAGAAAGTACAAACCCGCTTAATTAGACGGAATAAAGCCAGTGTCATCAGTGAAAAATGTTCATTAAACAGAGAATATCCGGCATCAAAAATTAGAAAAGCCTTGAGAAAAGCAAGGCTAAAATCCCTCTTCATCATTTCCAGAAAGGCAGAAAGAAACCGTATCAACTTCGAAAGTTTGATGAAAATGAGCTCTGGTGTCAGACTTCGGACACTTGCATATGATACGTTTTCAGACTCTTCTTCTCGATTTCAAACTTGAGGCATTCCGTCAGATTTCGGATGATTTCGTCTGATTTCGAACGATTCCAGTTCCGATTTTGGAAACTTAATGCCTTTATGCAAATGAATATAATGGAATTTCTGGCGTTTGAGTGCCAACGAATAAGCTGGAAATTAAATATTTCTGCGGCACGAGAGCAACACGACAAGGGCCGGGGCTCTTGAGCATAGATGCATTATGGGTAAAGTGATACGAGTATTAAAGCTTGTGATTGTACGTGGGCAAAAAGAGTCATTCTAGGCCGACACCTTCTCAGCTATTGCTGAGTTTATTTATTTATTTTTTTGTAAGTATGCATATAGCCTAGTAGGAAGGTTACGTGAGCTTGGGCCTGGTTCCCACCCAGATTTCCTGTCTCTTTTTCCCTTCGGGGTTTTTTATGGCAGGTCTTTTCTGGCCGCCGTTCTAACCACGATGATTGTTAGTGGTTGCTAAGCTCTGGGTATGTCTTTTTGTCGTGTGCTTTGATAACGATTAGCGAGAATGCAACGGTTTTCTATATGTGTTTTTTCATTATTGTACGCTGGTGCTCGGCCGAAAGATGCAAAATAAACCTAATGGTTCTCTATATTAGTCTCTATTGAGTAGTGTAGCTGAAATTTAGTGTTTGTAGGCATGGTCATGATCTCCGCTTAAAAAGAACGGAAAATTCTGAGGGTTGTACTTTCACAAGAGAATATAAACTGTTTATGGTGTCTTGACTTTCACAGAGTAGATGTGAACCTCACAAAGGTAACATGGGCACTGACTGAGCAATTCTACAGGCTATACTTGTAGTTCGGATGATTATCACACCCGTTTGCAAAACCGCAAAAGCTCTAATTGACATAGAAAAAATAACCAGTTGACCAATGCATGTATTCAGGAACCAAATACATTTAAATCTACTTTTAGCAGATACCAATCAAACGAGAGGAGGTTAGGCGGCGTTCAGTGGAGTCTTGATCGTTCTCAGCTCTTGACGGTGACCAAGGACATATCGGGTCCCGACCTTTACGGTAATTTAGTTGTTCCAATATTGCAAGTTTGTCCGTCCTCGATAGCCATCGACGCTGAAGGCTCGGTGCCTTTTAAGGAAAGACCTTTGGCAAAGAAGTTGTCTGTAGGTATCAAACGCACACGCATATTTTAATTTTTGTAACCTTCTCTGACATCACTTATACAAAAGTCCACTGAAACTGTTATTCGGGTTGAAATTACAAACAGAACTCTGAGACAATTTCTAAGTTATTAAAGTACAATCTGCTAGACTGTTAGCTTAACCAGGTGAAAAGATCTGACAACTTTGGTAGAGAACTTTGCGGGAGAATAAATTATCAGTATTTTTGTGGGGCATAGTTAAAAACCAACATGATTCAGAACCAAAATTGTTATTGTTGTTGTGCTTGGTGTTGTTGTTGTTGTTCAAGTGCATTCTGTTTCCTTTTTCAGTTTTATGTTTTGTTTTATTCAAAGTTCAGAGGCTGCCATTTGTTAGTTAGTTTCTTTTTTATTTTAGATAATTTGCTAGTCGACATTTTCATGTATTTTTCGATTTTAAAAGAATTTTATCTTGATTTGTAAATATTTTTGATGATTAGAGTGAATTATTTGTATGTCTCTACATAGAATAACGAGAGACTTTGACAACTTGGGATAATTTATTTCTTTAAGCTAACTCATTTGATATCTTTTCTATAATGCGAAAAAAGTGATCGTTGATTAGCCGAATTCTTTCCTTTTCTCAAGCCGGTCCTCTGCTGCAATTTTCTCTACACATCTTTGGAACATGCGTTTTTTTGTATGGATCTGTTGATTATGTTTTTCCAACTTTTAATCTTATTAATTCTTTGCAGATTTTTGAAAATATATTGCTTAGCAAGATGTTAAATCGGTCAATTTTGATGAAGTTCTTTATTATTTATTTATTATTTATTTGGCTTTTGAATCACAGAACGCCGTGGGAGGTAAGCGCATTGTTAGTTGTTCATTACGTCTAATGAAAAAAATAAATAAATGCACTTTGGTGATTTTCAATTGAAATTACTCTTAAACATATATCGCTTAAGAAACAGAAAGCCCGCTTATACGGTCCTAATTTTTTAGAGCATGTTTGGTTAGATTTACGTCGAGGCCCATTTAACTTGATTTCGTGCCTCAGCCTAACATTCCACTGAAATAGGTTCTTAGTTATCTCATAGAATTCATGAGCTTGTTCCACGCATTTTACATCAGGGAAGTTTTACATACGTGAAGCTGTTACACTTAGCTTTGACCGAACGAAGAGATGCCTCTTCAATGATTTAATCTAGGAAATAAGAACATGGTTTTGATAACCTAAACTAAAAGCCAATTTTCAAAATCAGTGCGTTTGAATCCTTGAAGGAGATAACCTCCACAATATAACCTTCAACCATTTATAGAACCAGTTCTGTCATCAAAGTCACATAAACATAAAGAATAAAATTACTTCAACACTTGCTACCATCTAACTTCTCCCAACATCACCCCAGAATCACACACCACGGTCACGAGAATAAAGGAATTGATCACCAATAAGAAAAGCTCTTGATTGTTTAATAGTAGGGAGAATATGCATACTGATGTTAAAGTGTAAGGGGTTTAACGGAAACGAACAACGATTCCACCCAAATACCATCGTCCTAATGGGTGCTTAGGGCCAAAGAAAGCATGAAGGACACAACAATGGAATTCACGACCTGATTTCTGATTGTATCACCCAGGTTTGCAGTTTTATACAAGACTCTTGCAGCCGTATTAGTTTCCGCGCTTAACAACGCACTGGCTGCAGTGATCCATGTGGCACAATGCGCCGACGAAAAGCTTTGTAAATAAAACTACATCGTCATTACTTCCACAATGAGCATGTCTTTGTTTCGTGTTGCTCAGGAAACATGTATAATAGGGTTTTAGGATGTATATAGAATAAAGATAAAGGGTATTATAAAAAACTGGATCATTGGATACTGTAATTCAAGACTTTTTATTGGCTTAGCCATTATGGTATATGAGCCAATACACCATAATCTACAAATATGGTAAGCGTACGCGTCAGCTTAAAATTAAAAGGGAACTAAAAATTTAGTAAAATTTAATAATTTAATTTAACGTTTTTAGTAAAAAAATTGTTCCACTCGCTCTTGTTGGATATGAAATTATTATAGCCAACTCGGCGCTACGCGCATCGTTGGCTATCTATCATCTCATATCCAACGCGCGCTCTTGTAATAATTGTTAAATATTGAAGTCTATAATTATCAAGATTATTCATTGTCAGTCACTGTGATTCAAGGTGTAATTCAATTTGAGTTACAGCATCAGGTGTAAAGATAAATAACTTCACAAAACAAAACTTGCAGTCTTTCTCATACTTAAAGGTTTAATCGCTTCACTGAGGTTTCCTCTTACATTTTTCACATTAGGTGCCAGTGGTTACACCAGTCAAATCGTTGTGTGACCTACTTAATTTGATATCAGTACTTGTTTCCTAAGTTTTCAGTTCTCACATCTTTCGTCAAGAAGTAAAATATCTCCTTAAACTACAGAAAAGACAAAACAATTGTCACTGTCAACTTTGGTTAAATCATGCAAATAATTTGAATATCAGTAAGTTGTTTGTGCCTGTTGTTGCTGGTAAGATCTGTCCCGATCGTACTGTCGCCCATGTCTTTCTTGCCAATTGTGCCGATCTTGTCTGTCTTGTTTATCAGACCTGTCTTGACGATCATAATGTTGCTGATTCTGTCTACGATAGCGTCCTTGACCTAAGTGATCCAAACAAGAATGTATTAGTACCAGGGACAAAAACGTCAAATGGAGGAATTTCCAGAAGTGCTACTACAAATCTCAAATAAATCGAAAATTGTCGACGAATGTTGCCCCACCCTTGTATGATGTTGAACCCATTCATACTAGGTGTGACCAGCATGTACTTTGTCCTTGATTGTTTAACAAACTCTCTTTGTCAACACCATAGGGAATCACCTAACCTGTGCAACCAGCAACTTCGACAATACCTCATTATTTTGGTTACAGGAGACAAAATTGTCTCAGCAATTCATCGAGCATTGAGAAGTGTTTGTGTAAAAGACATCTTTTACAAAGAAGACAAGGCAGAGAACAGGGAGTGTGCCCTATAAAGAAAAATAATCAGGTGTTACCTTGCCTGTCCTTGAACTGAACAAACCCTCCATGTCTTGTGTCATAAATACGTTCGTTGTTTTCCACCAAATTGCTGACCTGAAATACAAACAACGCGTATCCTAAGCACCCGAACTTTCACGCCAGCCAGGAGCTGGCCACTACTTGAGTTTGAAACATATCCATGAAAGATGAAGATATGAAAGAGAATTTGTGAACAACATACATTTGAACAACGGAATAAAGATTTTAACAGGAGAGAGATAACCACTCTCATAATAGTTGAAATGTAGCCCGGCCTTCCTAACACATATTAGTGTCCATATCGCCATTTTGACAGTTTAACAATGCCACCAATCACGTAGAG